GAAACCTCAAGAAAACTACATTACCCAAAATTGGCCATAGGCGACGCATTAAAAGCTTTTACCGCCCATCAGTTTAGTGTTATCAGTGATTGATGGCCCTAAAATAATTGCTCTCACTGCGACGTTCGCTTCAATATGTAACATGTGTAGCGCAATCGTCATTTTCGCGCGCTGGCGCATGCGACGCATATTTACGTTTATATGTGCGCAAGCGAAGGGGGGGGGGTTACTTTTTTTAGTTGTGACTTATTTTTTTAACTTTTTTGATGCGGGTCTGCCGTCCGTCCGTTTTTTCTTAACGGGCGGACGGCAAGAGGTTAATATAGGGGAAACTTTTTTTTTTTTTACATTTCAGTAATTTAACAAAGGGCGGATTTCACTGGCCCCCCAACCCCTCCGGTGGTCTCTGCACTAAAGAAGCTTACACTCTAATGTCCTCCCATAGTCACACACTATTATTATACATTAATATAGCTCTGACATTAACCGTAGTGCTGTACAGAGAAGACTGTACAGAGACTGATGTGACTGGCTCAAAGGAGCTTACACTCTAATGCAGAATGCCATCATTTAAAGAGGCCTACATACCCCAGCAATGCAGAAAGAACAGGAACTTACAGTGCACACAGTTTATCTAATTCCAGTGCTCTGACCTCATGCCCTCTTCCTCTCCAGGTGGTAGTGATGAGAGGGAGCACCGATGTTTCCTGCATGTTCTGTGGAGAAGACTGCAGCCGCCTCCTTTTGCCCTCGCACTTCAGGACCCGCTCTCCTGAAGTATACAGCCGGCCAATGGTGGTGCTGCGCAGTCCCCTCCTAGCCTATAGCAGCTGAAATGGGCTACGGAAGCTGCAGGTGGCCGCCAAAGAGTCCGATCAGTGACGCGGGCAGTTAGCAAAGGCACCCGAACTGATTCTTCTCTTCCCCTGCAGCTACAGAACAGCCGAGAGGGGAGCTTTAACACAAGTGATCGCCCCCCGGCCCAGTCCGCCCCTGCCTACAATCCTGCGGTATCCCAGGAGAGGATCTCAATGGGCCCCCCCAGCCTTGGACCGCCGGTACATCCACCCCTGGAGAGGTCTTCCAGAACCAGGTGTCATTGTCTGATGAAAAAAAATTATTTGGCTAAATTTTCAAAGGTAAAGTAAGAGGGGGGAAAAAATCCCCTCTTTCTACTGGATTTGCAGTCTGATCATCATTATTCAAAAAGGATGAGAAGGGCCAGGGGAAGCCTACTTAATCCTTATAAACAGTCATTTCCTTGAATGTCTATTTTTATACATTTTACTCCATGGAGATGCATTGCAAGAAGAAATCCTATTATTTCCTATGTAGCCATTTCACATCTATACAACATAGTTTAAAAGGAAAAGGTAAGGTAAACTATATGGGCCTCTTCACCCATATGCATGTGCATTACCACACATTCTGCATGCACAGAAAACAGTGTGAATCCAGTCTTGATTTCCACTTCTTAAGCCAAATTGGGACAACAAAGAAAAAAAAAATGCAAACCAACAGCTACTGTGGTCTACGATACAACGCACACTACAGGAGCTATCAAAACACACTAGCTTGTCTGCAGAAATGAAGCATTTTAGGGGGCGAGCTAGTGTGAACGAGCCCTCAGTGCTGCATTTAAAAAAGTGTAAATTTAAAAAAAAAAACTGTATTTTTGAACCTCGCTTAAAATGTTGTTTCTTGATTATTAATAGTAATATGTTCATTAATAGACGCAGGATGAGTAATATGATTGGGTTATACTGCTGTCTACAGTAGGATTTAGATATTGGCAAACAAAAAAGCTCAAAGAACTGCCTCCACCTGGTAAAACATAGAAAATGTATGAGCAGAGGACCAAGTGGCAGCATTGCAAATCTGGTAAACAGGGGCCTGATGCCTAAAAGCCCAAGAGGCACTCACAGACTAAGTAGC